CAGTCACAATTGATAAGTGCCAGAGTCAGGATTAAAACCCAGGCGGTTGAACTCCAGAGCCTGCACCCCCAGTCACTGCATTGCAGTGCAAAGATTAGGCACTGGGCTCCAATCAAAGTCACTAATGCATGGAAACCATTTCACAGAGCCCGATGCATGAGAGACACTCATTTAAGGATAGATGTCATTATGTACATTGTGTCAATTGGAGTCTGACTGGACTGAACTAAATCCCAGTTCTAACGCTTACTAGTGACCTAGTGTATTTGTGAGCTATTGATTTGTAAAAATTACCCCCAAACTTAGAGGCTTGAAACAACAAACATTTACTATCTCACAATTTCTGAGTTACAAATCTGAGAGCAGCTGAGGTGGGTGGTTCTGAGCCAGGGTCTCTCAGGAGATTATAGTCAAGATATCAGTTGAAGCTGCACCATCTGAAAGCTTGACTGGGGTGGAAGGGTCTGTTGCTAAGATGGCTCACTCACATGACTATCGTCAGGGGAACTTCCGTTCTTCTCTGGATATTGGTAGGAGCCTGAGTTTCTTAACCTGGGGACCTCTCCATGGGACTGCTTGAGTGTCCACAGACATGGCAGGGAGAGAAATGAGAAATAGAGAGAGAGAGAGAAGCCACAATGTCTTTTATGACCTATTCTTGGAAGTCCCAAACCATCACGACAGTATTGATCAGAAGTGCAGAAGTAAATCCAGTCCGTATCCAAGGGCACAGGAATTCAGGTCCATCTCCTGAAGGGAGAAATATCAAAATCATTTGTTTCAAATGACCAACACCAAGGGGCAAGTTATTAATCTCTCAGTGCTTCAGTGCTTTTATCCTTTAAAAATGGGTTATTATTAATATTCTTCACGGCACCTTTGTGGGGTTAAGTGAGATGATTCACACCAAGAGCCTAGATGGTGCCTGACCAACAGAGTAGGTAAGCATCCATATATGTCAGCTCTGATTATTATTTATTATCAGCTATGTTGAACATGGCTGTGCCTCTTGTCCCTTAGTCCCAGTCTTCTCACCCTGTCAAATGGGATTAGTGATATCTGCTGTGTTCAAGCCGCACAAAAACTATTTGTTGAATACATGCACGAATGAATTTATTGAACACATACTATATGCCAGGCCCTGTTCTAAGCACTAGGGACATATAACTAAACACACCAGACAAGGTTTTACCCCTATGCAACATACATTCTAAAGGGGGAAGACAAAAAATAAAACCCCACAAGTAAACAACAAAGTGAATCATTTTATTTTTTAAAAGATTTTATTTATTCATTTGAGAGGGAGAGAGAGAGAGAGCATGAGCAGGGAGAGAGGGAGAAGCAGACTCCCCGCTGAGCCAGGAGCCCGATGTGGGGCTCGATTCCAGGATCCGGAGATCATGACCTGAGCTAAAGGCAGACGCTTAACCATCTGAGCCACCCAGGCGCCCCTAAAGCAAATCATTTTAGAAATAAAAAACAAAACATGGCGATGTATGCAACATAGAACGCAATGAGATACGACCAACACACCCACCAGAATGGCTAAAAAGACTGACAACATCAAATATTGGTGAGTATGTGGGACAAACAGAACTCTCATGCATTGCTTATGGGTGTGTAAAATGGCACAATCAGTTTGAGAAATATCTGGCAGGGTTTTTTTTTTTAAGATTTTATTTTTAAGTAATCTCTATACCCAACGTGGGGCTCGACCTCACAATCCTGAGATCAAGAGTCGCATCCTCCACTGACTGAGTCAACAGATGCCCCTCTGGCAGTTTCTTATAAAACTAAACACATACCTTTTCCTAGGACTTGATGATCCCACTTTCAGGTATTTACTCAAGAGAAAAAAAATCCACACAAAGACTTGTATGAGTTCATAACCACTTTATTGATAGTAGTCCCAAACTAGAAACAGCTCAATGCCCATCAATAGGAGAATGGACAAACTGACATATATTCATGCAATTGAATATTCAGCAATAAAAGAAACTTCTGATGCAACAACACGAATGACTCAAAAACATGCTGAGTGAAAGAAGTCAGTCACAAAAAAGTACACAGCATAAGATTCCATTTATAGTTCTAGAACAGGCAAAACTCATCTACGGTGAAAAAAATTAGAACAGTGGGAGATGGGGCTGATGGAGAAGAAGCAGGAAGGAACTTTCTGGGAAGATGGAGATGTTCTATAGCTGCACTGTTTGACACACTGGCCACCAGACTTGTGGATTATTTCAATTAAATTATTTAAAGTAAAGTAAAATGGAAAATTTGGTCCCACAGAAGCAGTAGGCACATTTTAATTACTCAACAGCCACATGTGGCCAGTGGCTACTGTATCTGGATAGCATTATTCCATGTCTTCCTAGGAATGCATCCCCAGGGATGAGTTGTCAAAAAGCCACAGAACGGTGAAGTTAAGATTTGTGCATTTCATTTGTAAGACTTATGTTTAAATACATTGAACTCGCTTAAAGCTACGGAGGCTGATGTGTTGAGGGTGAAGTATACTGCTGTCTACAGCTTACTTTGAAATGCATCCAAGAATAAGATGGACTGATGGAGGGATCGGGAGACACACCGATGTACGGTAAAGCAAATATAGCAAACTGTTAACTGCAGGATCCAGGTGGTGGGTACATGTATCTTCCTCAGACAAGTCTTTCAACTTTTCTGTGTGAACACTTTTGTAATAAAATTATGAAGGATCACCAGTTTTATTAAGGTTTTGTGATGTTTGCAATGTATTTATTTGTCCTACTAGTATCATATACGGTATCTTTAATTATGACATAATTAAAGAATGATTATCAAGATGGAGAAACACAGTGGGGCGTCTTAGCTAGGGGGTCAGAGAATAACCAGAAAAGGTTCCTTCAGGGATCACATTCATTCATTCATTCATTCAGGACACAGGGATGAATCAGACCTGGTCTCCTCTCTTGAATCCAGGAGGTGCCATGAGAGTAACCCATTGTGCAGGGGTGCTGAGGACCTACTGTGTGCCTGGGCTGGAGCATGGGTCTGTGGGACACCACAGCCCAAATACTTTTTGAACTGTGCCACACTGGTTCCTTGTGGCCCTGACTATCTCTCTGGCTTGAGAGTGGACTACCCTACCCTTCCTTCACCATAATTTTGGGCAGATCCAAAAATGTCCGTCCCGTGAGGGTGGGGACTTTGTTCACCGCTTGATATCCACCACCGAGCACATAGGAGATGTTCAACAAGCCTGTACCAAAGAAATATAAGAATGAAAATTGTGGTTCCGTTGGCCTCTCCACTCTGAGGCTTTTGAGCTTGCTGCTCGTGCTGTCTGGACCACTAGGTCTCTTTGGTTCTTGCACCCTCTATTCTCGTCATTTCTGTCTCTGCTCCAGCATCCCCTCCTGCAAGAGGCCTTCCCTGACCACCTTGCGAGTCTCCCCACCTCTCCATCATCACGTCATCCTGCCTTTTTCCCCCTTCTGTTAAAAAAAAAAAAAAGCAATCAATACCAACGTACAGAACAATACATGTTTATAGATTTATTTGAAAATCACCAGTTTTATTAAGGGTTTGTGATGTTTGCAACGTATTTATTTGTCCTACTAGTATCAGCTTCTCCCCAGATGTTCACTATAAAGCAGGAAGGCTCTCCGAGTGCACCTCATCCTGTTTTGGTTCCTTCATACTATTGTCACCCTCTGAAAAATTTTTTTCCCTGTTTTGTACGCTTGTCTGTCTCCTCTTCTTAAAGGTAAATTCCAGGATGGCAGGAACCTTGCGAGGTTTGCCCACGGCCCCATACGGTAAGTGCTCAGCGACGCAGCCTCGCTCCATCAGCGTGCACGGCTCCTGCAGTCTCGCTGCTGCACTGGGAGGAGGGAGCCCAGACCCGCGGTCCTGGGAGAAGATGCGAGTGGAGAGCCTGGGACTGTGGACGGTCCCCAAAGCCACGCCCCCCGAGCCCCGCCTCCGCCGGGGCGCGTGCCGCAGCCTCGCTCTGGGGCCAGAGCCTGCGCGCTCGCGCCCCGAGCGCCC